GTGCAAGAGAAACCTGGAAAAAGCAGCAAAATGCCTGTCTTTGAAACCCAGGTAGTTAATTTAGCATGAAAGGAGAGAAAATTCCTGGTGTGAGAGGCATCAGCTGCTAGAAATGTATCTTTGGCATTTGTCTTTGCAGATGACGACTCATGGGACCTGGTCACTTGCTTCTGCATGAAGCCTTTCGCTGGGCGGCCGATGATCGAGTGCAACGAGTGCCACACTTGGATCCACCTTTCCTGCGCCAAAATCCGCAAGTCGAATGTCCCAGAGATCTACATCTGCCAGAAGTGCCGGGACTCCAAGTTTGACATTCGCCGTTCGAACCGCTCCCGGACGGGCTCGCGCAGGCGCTTTCTGGACTAGGGGGAGGCACGTGCTGGTGCGCTGCGTGGGTGGGTGAGCCGTGGGGGCCGGCCGGGAGGCCGGGAGGGCTCCCCTGAACTGCTGCTGCTCGGGTGGGAGGGCTGCCCAGCCGGCCTGTGGCCCGGGAATGAGGAATCGCCGAGCCGCGGGCAGCCGGAGCTGGGAGCGGCCGACTGGGCAGAACTGGGCGAGAGACTGTCTCGAGGGACAGACGAAGCTCTCTGAGCTCAGTGGAGTTTTGTCTGGTTACGATGACTGGGTGATGTACTATACCTTTGCCAAGTAGGTTTTCTCATCCCATTGGGAAACTGCAAATCTTCTCTGTGCTAGAAAACTCCTCCTCCTCCCAAAGAGGGAGAGGAGGAGGAGGGAGTCTGTGTGAAGAGTCTGAAAAGTAAATGGCCCTGTGTTTTCAATTCAATGTGATATTATACCTGCCCATTTGTCCGTATAGATTCAATCTTAGATATCCTAAGACTCCATAGGAGTCAGCCTCAGTGCTGCTGGCCTCTGTGTGATCTGCTGCTGCTTCCACGGGCCTGAGCATAGGGGAGTTCTGTCATTTGGCATTATCCAAGTGCAAATGAGACTTGGGGCTCCCTCCTATGCCAAGGGACAGTGCCCTGGCAGGAAGGGGCAACCCTTTTCCTGGACAGGCAGCGTGGGGGATCAGTGGCATCAGATTCCTTCCTCGAAGGTCTCTTCTTACAGTGTTTTTTTTTGTGATTTATTTGCATGAACAGCTCAAATGTGTGTATGGGGGGAAACTGCTCCATTTCCTGTCCCTTCATTAACCTCTATGGTGCTGTTTTAAGAAGATGACTCTCCTTTTTCTCAGCCCAGAATTCAAACATGGGCTGTAAAAGGGGCCAAAGGAAATGTAGAACCTGGCAGGTCTGGTTTGGAATTTGATCCTGTCCATCCAAGAATGACAGCTGAGTTGATTTTTGTTTTTGCTGTTTATTTTTTGAAGCTGGACTGTAACCAAAAAGCCAGAATCTTTATTCTGTTGGTAGCAATGACACAGATCAAATGCAGGCAATGCAGCTACAGGATGAAGTGCAATGAGGATCCGTCTGTGTGGTGTGGACAGCAGAGCGCTGAGGCCCTGGCCAGCACTGCAGTCAGGACCTCCTGTGCCTGAGCCCACGGGAAATCCCTTCAGGACCACGATGGGAAATCACAACTCACACAAGGCCAGGGAGATGCTGGCATTGTTCCCCAATGACCAGACAGATCCACATGGATCACACAAATCGGGTTGAGGTTTTGAGGTGTTTCTCTGAAGTTATGCCTGAAGAACAGCGTGTGCTCTGTCCAGTAAGAGGCTCAGAGAAGCGCGGGCTGGCACAGCAGCTGCAGCCACACCAGCAGGAACACGACCCCGTGAGTTCTGCAGTCACACAGCATTGGAGCACTGCCTTGTCTGAGGACTGGCTCACCGGGAGATGCATCCTGGTGATGACTGAGGGTCTTGCTAGCACACAGAGTCAAGTGCCCTCCTTCAGACATTGGCCCCAGGGCTGCCAAAGCCTCAGGCAGCCAGTACCACAGGGCCCTGGGGCTCCATGGTGTGGGGCAGGGTGACAGAAGTGCACAACATGCAGCTGTTCTTCTCCTGGTTCTTGATAAAAATCTTGTTCCACCAAGCTGTAACCACTGACTGGGTTCAGAAAACCAGCGTCTGTGAAATCTCTCAACCATGACTGTACTGTGCTGCCTTCAGAAGCTATGTGGAACCACCAAGGAGTTTGCCAAAGACTTGCTCCCAATGGCTGCCTGACTGTCCTTTGCAGCCAGAAAAATAACCAAAGTTCTCCAGTGCTGCCATTTCCCCAGAAATGCTTTGGAAGATCCCGGCCACAACTGCACAAGAGTTGGACTTAGTCTGAAATTCGTATCTCTTGTGTTTACAGTGTGTCTGCAGTTCAACTGGGCCTCTGTGGACTGTGTTCCTGAAGCTTTTATGGGAGAAATGGTGCACTGTCAAGTGAACTGGCTCTTTTTCACAGAGGTTCAACACTAATCAGTGTGACTGACTCTTGTTCTGTCCCCTTTTCGGATTTATCCCAATGGATGGTGTCCAGCACGTTACAATATCAGCAGAGAGAAATAAAAAAGTAACATCTCCATTCTTTTAGTTCATCACTTTCAGCCATGTATAATTATAGTTTAATTCAGAACTTTATTTTTTCATTAAAACTTCTAATGAACCATGTTTTTTTCTTACATGTGAGACAAATGAACAATGAGTTTGTTATATTCCAAACTCAGGAGTCTGCTGTTATGATTTATTGGTTTGTGAGCTGTTGTGCCAGGCAGCAGGAAGACTTAACACTTGAAGTGCTCTTCCCAAAACAATACATTGAGGTGGGGATAGGAAGAGCTGGCAGGTATCCCCACCCTTCTGTGGAGCAGCTGCTCCTTGCTAGCAGCAGCTTAGAGTGTGGGACATGGTGATGGAGCCCTGGAGGGTTGGGAGGGAGGCACTGCCTACAGTGCTGCAGACAGCAGGGACAGTGTGCTGGGCTTGTGCCAGGGGCTGCTGAAGGGTGCAGTCACTGAGCTGGGGGACAGGGCTCAGGCCAGGATGCCGATGGTGTCCTGGCAGCAGGTCCCTGCAGCCTCAGAAACAGCCCTGGGGCAGCACTGTACCCCCTTGCAAGGACTGGAGGCTTGGCCAGACCCAGAGCAAGCCCCTGTGAACCCTCTGGGAGCTGTGCTGAAAGAGAACTCCCTCCCTCCCCACCACCAGGCAGCACCAAGGACTCCAAACCACCCAAGGAGCCACCCTGCAGATTGTGTATGTGCCACAACCCCACAGGCACTGCTGCTCAGCCAGCCAAGCCTGAACACCTTGGCAAACTGAAAAGTGGCTCAGCCTTCAGGAAATGGCACTAGGTCACACTGGAAGCTCAGCTCTGCTTGCTTAAAGCTTCTGTCTTAATTCTGTTGGTAATTTTGAAATATAGAGTCATAACAAGAAGTCCCAGGGAAGCTGTGGCTGTAAAATGGCAACTGCTCATAGCAAGAATATGGTGGTAAAGGCTGTGGTTCTGCAGTGGGGCTGTTCTGAACAGTTTTAGCAAAACTTGGCACTGATAGAAAACAAGGAAGAAAGGAGGAGGGGGCTGGGGAGACTTAGCAAGCATCCAGTTCTCAGGGATGCTCTTGTGCCATGTCCTTGTCTCTACCGGCTGACTCCTCACTTCTGACTGTAACACCTCACAGTGACATCACAAAGGAACTGGAGGAGATTTAGATTTCTGCCCAGTCCCACTCAGCAGAGGTCAGTAAACTGGATGGGATGGACAATGCTGTTATGTTTACAAGACCTGCCACCCTTGCTTTCCAGGGGTTTCATCTCAGGAACTTCCTACAGATGCAAAGGGAATGGGAGCTGCATTTCAGCTGAATATAATTTATTGCACATTTTACATTTACTTTGAGATTGACAGAACGCTGGCCATAAGTGAAATAAAGCCTTGCACCAGGAACTGGTCACAACTGAGAAGTTTTGGTTTTAATAAAAACAAATGAACACCCCTTCATAATATGACCTTGTTTTTTTACAAGGGAAAGCATTTCTTTTGGAAATCTCATTCGCCTGGTGCAGTGACCTGAGCACAGAGAACCACGCCTGCACAGAACAGGGGCCAGGTCCATGTCAGGAAAGGAGTTATGGCAGGAGCTGTCAAAAGCAACTGCACTGCCAAAACATGGATGTTTTCCCCTCTCCTCTCACCTATTAGCAATGAAGGCTGGTCTGGACTTAGCCAGAGCAAAACTATGATCAAGGAACAGTCACCACGATTCCTTGTCTCTGCAAAAGCCTCAGATGTGCTGATGTACTCAGTGTGTGTAGTTCTACAAGGTGCTATTTCCAGCTGCTGTATCACCAGCCCAGGACTGCCCTTCTGCTGGAAATCCCTGGCAGGACTTCTAGGCAAGAAAAAAAAAAAAATCAGTGATCTATGCCATAACTGCTGCTTTTCGGAAGGGGCAGATGAGTGTTACATTTTCAGCTCTTAATTCATTTGGCCTCTCCTCACTTTGGTATGGTTTACTTCATGAACTACATTTATTTTTGCTAGAAATAAATTAGATGTGAAGAGATAGCTGCAGCATCAGAATCAAATTAAATTAATTGCTGTCATTCTCCCTCAGTTGCTTTCCCTCTTTTCTGGAAATCCTTGACAATACATGGTTGTGGGTGGCAGAAGAATTAATAAAACTATGATGCATCGTGTCCTTGTCTGGAAGAGCAGTGTTGGAAATGAGCAGCTGGACAGATTGGTGCTGAAGAGGATCATGTTACTTCAGAAGGCAAATTCATTCATACTTAAGCACATACTTTTCTTAACAAGTGCATTTCAAACACAGATTTGAGATTGAAATAATCACTGACCTCTCTCCAAAATTTGCACAGGGGACTTCCAGGTGGCCAGAGAACTGAAATTCCCCTGATGAGAAGAAGAAGGTGTGTTACCTACCCCAGGACGTACATGGAGAAATGAGAACAAGAGGCCTTCGTCCCTGCAGAGTGCCAGGAGAGAGGTGTGAGTGCAGGAAGGGGCTGTGGCCAGCTGGGAGCAGGATGCCCGCTCAGCCCCTCGGCAGAAAGCACTGTGCACTCAGAGTCACGCTGCTTTATTGGGTACCGAGCCACAACTCAGATATTGCCTGGGAGCCGCCTGGAGCAGCAGGGTCTGTCCTTTTGTCCCTAACAGAACCGGCAGGACACCGCCTGCTATACAGACAGTAAAAATAAAAGAGTCTCTGTTCAAACTCGCAGCGTCCGGGGGAGGTTTGCAGTTTCCGTTGACCCAGGTACCGGGAGAGATGCGCGTTCCCCGGATTAGCCGTCGGCATCGATCCTGTGAGCTGTTGGGGAGAACAAGGAATGGACACGTGCTGGAGCCCAGCACTGTTCCAAGGACAGGCAGGAACACTTCTGGCTGCTAATCAGACACAATTCAAATAAGCCTCCAATGCACTTCTGGAAGCCCTGTCAGTTGGATATGCTGCTCACACTGGGCAAGGAGATGGTCTAGAGCAAACAAAGGTCTGTGCCCTTGAGCCAACCCACCAGACCCACAGGAGTGCCAGTAAAAGTTGCCAAAAGCAGATACCAGTTTCACAGATCTATTCCAGCAGGGAAAATATTTTGGCAGGTAAGATAAATGGGGACAAGAAAGAAATCCGACTCAGGCCTTCACACATTAAATTCAGTCCCCAAATGGCCACCCAGTGCAGCAAACTGCACAGAAGGACAGTGGCACCTGTGGGAGGCCTCTCCTTCCAGCCCCAGTTAGAGATACAGACAAGCTGGTACAAACAGCTGCAGAGCTGCTGCTGAGTTCTTCTGGACCTTAGTCCAGAAGCAAGTCATGGCCAGTCCATTCCAATAACCCCAGTTCTGAACCCCAAGTCTGTGTGCTTCACCACAGAGCTGAAGTAGTCCATTACTGATTCCCCAAGGAAGACGCTGGGCAGTCTGTGCTACTTACATTGCTTTGGTATCCTAAGGGCCTCATTGTCAGCTGACATCACTTGGTGCAGAACTCCTCGGAACTGATAAAGCACTTTCAAACTCTTCTCCTCACCCACACAGGGGTCGTAGAAGCCTGGCAGCCCAGCCTTGAATCAGAGAAGAACAGACTGAGCATCAGGGAATGGACTTTCACAGCTCTCCAGCTGGCCAAAAACATTTATTACTGCCAAAGACAAAGTGTCATAAAAAAAAAAAAAAAAAAAAAAAAAGAGTTTTGCTGCCAGCAAGTTGAGACACCGGAGAATCATCTCCACAGGTTTTCGGTGCATAAAGTAAATCAGGGGGTTGGGAAGTTTCTGATGTACAGCCCCAAGGTCTGTAACACCCACTGTCCCACTGGCACTGGAAAAGCCCCAAGAAACAGAAGTTCCTGGAAGTTTGTGATACTTGGTATGTAAATGGCATCTGTGAATTGATCCAGAGCCACTGGAGAGATCCCCTGGCAGGACACCACATGGCTCAAACAAAATTTTGGGCCACACCCCTGAATCTGGGCTTTGACAGAACATCTACGTACCTTGGAGGCCTCTGTAAGGATGAGTTTAGAATCCTTCACCAAGCACTGCAGAGGCACAGTCACATCTATAACCTTCACCTTCTCATTCTTCCTGCTGTTGTCGTTAACAAATTTCCCATACCAGGCATTCACTACAATCAGACCTGCATTTCCCAGGAAATCACAACTGTGATGGAAGGCTTCCATTGACAAAAAGACCATCCCAGCATTTTCTCTTGCTTTCAGTGAGATTTAATTCTCCTAGCCTGGACCCACGCTTCCCAACAAAGAACAACAGTTTTACTTGGGCATTTGTTATCAACCTTCAGCACTAGAATGGAGTGACAGGACCTCAGTGCCACACTGACGTGACAATCCAAGTGGATTTCAGTTCACTTTGGAACATTCTATGGCAAATTGCTAGTAACCATAAGAGATCAGATTCCCACTATGATCCAGGAGCAAACTGTGTAAGGGAGAAATCAGTGAAAGCTGAACTTCAGACTACAACTTTTGCACCTATTTATAGACACACCTCTCTCTGGGGAAGAGGTGAAGCCAGACTGTTGTCTTTAGTCTGTTGATCCACTTCACACCATGTCCCAAGATAATATTCTGTGATCCTTCCTAAGCTCAGGCACCTGGAACTGAGTCATAATGGGACTTCCCCAGTATGTGCTCAGCACCAACTACACTGCACTTCATCAGGAGTGGGAATGAAGAAAAGACACCTTTGCATTGCTCCTTCTTCTCTCCATATTTATAGAACAAGTAAATGGTATCATAATCTTTACCCATTCTGGCTTCCTCTGCTTCAATTATCCTTCGGACTGACTCCTGCATTAACCGGACCTGTCACGACACAAGTGGCAGAGCAGAAATCACACAGGGTCAGACACTGTGGCCAAAGGAGAATGGTCCAGAGTAAAAAGAGTTTCCTTTCACTGAGGGGACTGAGTTACAAGAAACACTCACTGCAGCTTCAGCCTCCTGCTTCTTCTGTAGGATGTCGCTGGCTGTGCTCTCCCGCTGCTTCTCCAGCTCTCTGGCAGAAGGAAGGCAACATCTCATCAGGAATACACAGCTGGCATTCAGCAGAGACTGGCAGGGTCTGCTTACCCACCCTGATTACAACTGACCCACAGCCTCACACAAATAATCCCACATGAGACTTCCTCAGGAATGTGCAAGCTCACCTCTCCTTCTGTGCCCTGAGGTAGGGTTTGATGACCAGCCTGTGCATGGCAAAGTACATAACGAGAGGTCCCACGGTGGCATAGAACACGGCGCTGGGAAGCAGCTGATCTGTTAGATGGATGGGGAAGAAGTAGGTCTGGCTGGCCCTATTCAGCCTGCAACAAAGAAGAGCAGAGGCACGGTGAGAGGAAAAGCAGAGCTGGATGTGCTTGATGAAGCACACTTAGCAGCAGTCCTTGCTGATGAACCAAAGGGAGATGAATGAGGAGATCAAAATGTGAAAGCCTGATAAACTGAAGAAGCCAACGGCAGAAAAGGCAGCTGACACCAGCCAGAGCCATACTTTGAAGCAGCAGCTCGTGATAGTACCTGACCGTTCTAAAGTTCTTTTTTTAATCTTAGGAGAATTTGCTTGGTCATTCATTTCAACAGAAAAAGGGATGAACATCCTCATGAAAGAAGAGAAAATACTTCTAGAGAAGGCCTGTGCTCATAACACTGGCATGGGCCTTCAGGGCAGGTGTACATGAATATTTTTCTAATGTCTGTAACCATATTTATTTTAGAAAACATGAGTTTCCTTGGGCCTGAATTCTTTGGGCTCTTCAGCACCCCACCTGTAGCTGGCCTCAATTCAAGTGCACCACATCACAGGGACACTTAATGAGCTCTGTCCTTGTGTGAACTGCAGCTTGTTAATGGTACAGTCACCTGCATTAGGTAATGGTAATTCCCTAATTCAAGCATTTACTTATATACAGCATAATACACATGGACTCCATCTCTACTAATATTTTCGGAAATCTTCCATTAACTTACCAGAGTGCTCCAAATGTCACTTTAAGCTGTATTTCAGAATATTATGATGCACACACACACAGACAGGTGGCTCAGGCTGTGAGTCACACTAGTGGAAAGCACCCACTGCTTATGATGGGCTTACAGCTTGCATTAGAATTGAGGGCAGCTGCACCCTCTCCCAGTGATGTATCAATACACCTGTATTGACCTGGGACTGGGACCTTCCCACCTGAATACTGGAAATAGAATCATGGAGGTTATGGTCAGCCTCTGCAATAAAGAGTTGAGATCTTGAACTGACTTGATTTTCAATGACACTCCTTGAGGAACACCAACGCTGACAGTGGCTCCTAAAACACTGTGTCTGGAGATCTTCCTCTCTGCTCCATACTCCACTATGGTCCCAAAGAAACCCACCCTAGAATGACAGAACCAAGAACTGTTAGGACAGAGAAGACACTTGAATTTCTCTTTACTGAATCCTGTAATTCCCAAACAAGTAAAGCATGGAAATGCATCTATTTGCAGCAGATGTTGGCCTCTGAAAGATTCACGGTATATCTCCAAGGTGAAATGAGACCTTCCAGCTTGCTAAGTAGTAAACAAGAACTTCTGGCTTTCTTACTGGGGATAATACAGAGATATCATACACAAGTATTTTAAGTTCCACTTAACTGCAGAGGCACGCAAGGTCAAGCCTCCAAGACATTCACTTCAGCCTTTACCAGATTTTAAGTGAAAAACAGGCTCCCAAAGGCCACAGAAGCATTTGGTTTGTGTGAAACCTGGAGGCCTACAGCAGCAGGAGAGGACAGAGTCCTCAGGCTGCGAGCAGTGTGAATTTCCTCTTGAGCACTTACTTGAGAGAACCTTTCACTCGTGTTTGATCCTCATCCTGAAACTTATGCTGGTAACTGACCATCATGAAAGAATGGGGGATTCCCAGCTGGAACACAAGAGGCACAAACTTATCAGAATATACCTTTGGCCACTGCTGCCCCCTAATTTCCTCTCAACCTTGAAGCACAGCACACAAAGCAGTGCTTGCCACTTACAACCTCTGCTGTCCATGTTGTCCTGACCCTACTGTAAGCTGACCCACGTCACCTATGACAATGCTAAGAGCTGTGCTCTGCCAAACAGCTGGTTACCTATATTAGGTCTATCACGAGAATACCAACAGCTTCCTTAGCCTCTAATCCCATGGCAAAATACTGCTGGGACAGGAAGGTGAGGCCGCTCCCTCCCACAGGGCAGGATCACTGTCCTGCCTGTGCTCTCACCTGCATGGCCACAGTGAAGTGGCTGGTTTTGGTGTCCCGGACAATGCTGGTGTTCATGGCTGACTGGATGCCCCACCGCCACTGCAGGTAGCCCATGGTGTTCTTGTCCAGGTTGCGGGCCAGGACCGTGGTGAGGCCGGGGCGGACCCCGCGGGACGAGAACTGCAGGGCACAGTTTGTGGTGATGAAACTAGAAAAATGAGGAAAAAAATTGTCAGTGAAAAAACACAGGCTCCCAGCTGGCCTCAGAGTCTTTCTTGCCCAGGGACTTTACGGAGTGCCCAGAGACCATCCTGCAAAATGCATGATGTTTGAGGCTTTTGGGGAAAAGTGAAAACTAATTGGAACTGCCCTGAGCACAGCGGTGTCCAGGAGAGCAAGCTGTGCCCTGGTTTATTGTCTGTGCCCAGGCACCCAGCCTTCCCCTTCCTGCCCTGTGCAGATAACATCCTGGTCTCTGCAGAACAGCACACTGGGCTGCTGGCACAGAGCAGCCCTGCTATTTAATAATCCTTGAGCATCAGCTCAGAAAACCAGTGCTAAAGCACTCTCTGGGGAACAAGAATCCTCTACAAGCTCTGAGGAATGGCAGATCCACTACATTTGAAAATGTAAACAGAAGGAATCTACCTACATGAGCTCCTATGATGCTCTCACATGTGGCTCCAATCACAGGCCTTACCTTGTATTCTCCTTTGCAACCTGAGACTTCATTTGTGAACAGACATGACACTAGTGGCAAATTTGGCATTATTTTCCTAAAATATGATGCATCACATCCTGTTTTGCTGCCAGAAACTCCCTCTCACACATGGAAGCCTCAGAAGAGTTCCCCAGTTTTTGTTCTGTTCCCAGAGCAAACTTTGTTGCTCTGCTTCAAGTATGATGAATCATGACAAGATCAAGTACAAATCTAAAGATGTGGAACACAGACCTCCCTTAAACTGGAAATATGGAAAGGGAGGGCACCAACCCCCAGAAAGAATGCAGGCATTTTGACAATACAAGTATGACCTTAAGTCTAAATTTAAAGGACAGAAAATGAATCCAAAATTAATGTGGAAGAGAATTGAAGTAATTTAGTTCCTTATTGTGGAATATTAACAATTTTTCTAATATTTACCATCTTGGTGTAAGATTACGAAATATCTTCAGCCCAAAGAGAGGTCCATGAATGTCTCCAGCTCCAAACTCCAGCTGTTAGAATACATAGTGCCAGAGTGTTAGAAGAAAACATCCTTTACAATAGTGACAAAATATGTCATGAGCACAATTTTCATCACAGCTGTTTTACACATCTGAGTAACATTTACCACCTCGTTCAGTACCCTCCCTTTTCTTCAGCTTTGCATTCAGAAGAAGAAAAGGTGTCTTGCTGAGTTGGAGCTCATGGGTAAAACAAATCCAGTTTTGTAAAGCCACAGGTCACTGCTACTGGCACCTACTTTGGTCACTCCAGGGAATGTGGAGAAAACTCCCACAAAAATCCTGATGCAATCAGGAAATCTTTGCCCTCAAAAAAATCTTGGTGTGAATCAAAAGCCTCCAGTGTCTGAATCTCAAACAAGAGGAAGACTCCCACTCTCCCAAGCTGAGGAAGCAGGTTAGCAGGAGCTCATATGCAAGAAGGAAGGCACAGGTAGCTGCCAGCTACACCAGTGATGCCACGAGCACCTCAGCTCAGCTTGCAGGTGCAACATGAGACCTTCCAGCTGCTCAGATCAGACCTGCTGGGGCGGGGTGTCAAACTATTTCCTCCATAACTTCTTCCCATGCAAGCAAAGCAGTTTTGGAAGCAAAGGCCAACTACCACGCTGCCCTAAAATGCCTGCTCACAGCACTGTGCCTTCAGACAGAACAATCAGAAAGACTAGAAAGACTAGGTAACAATTCTATCTGCACAGGTGAAGTTCAAATTATGTGGCCAAATGGAGAGGGGAGAAAAATAAGAAAAAACAAGGTTTGGTATTCCCTTTGTCTCAAATTCCTTTAAGAATTCATTTTTCTACATTTTACAGGACACAGAAAATGAGAGATGAACCACAGCTAAAGTTTCCCCCGAGAAATAGCATACCAGGTAATAGATTGAATATACAACTGCCTAACAGGTGTACTCTTACCTCTCCCCATCCCTTGGCAGATGTCACTCGTCTCAGTGCAAGATTAATTGACCCCCCTCCATTTCCATTCTGGGTGGAAAGGTTACCAGACAGTATTGCTGTATCTGTGGAAGTCAGGGGTGCCTGAAAAAGGAATATATTATTTCAAGTATCTCTGATCCCAGTTCACACATTAAGTGCACGTTCTGCAAGGACATAATCACCACTGCAGAGTGTAAATGGTTTTGTAGTCATGGCAAAAAGTCAGATAATTCTTACAGTACCAGACACTTGTGACACCTGTAATGTACCACCTTGAAGTCCTGACCTTGAGCTGTAAACCATTCTCATCTCTCTAGCAGACTAAATTTCTACAACTCTCTGAAAGAGGAAATGCTTCCCATCCTTTTCCTTAGGCACATCCTCAGGACTGGGTGCCATTTGCTTTCATCCACTGAGCACATTCCGTTCAGTGAGAACTGGGCACTGGGCACCTGCACTGCCAGGAGGGCAGGACCACTGCAGCCCACAGAGCGGTTGCCCAAAGGCTACAGAGCCAACCCACCATTCTGCTGGCCCCAAGATGCCTCTTCCCACCTGTGCTGGCCACCGTGTCCCCCCAAATCCCGCTGAGAGCCAGGACTAGCATGTTCTGTGTTCTGAGGTGCTGCATTCACCCTCCTCACCTCGATGGACTGGGATATGTGCATTTTGTTTATCTCAATCTGGGGAAAGCTGCTCCCAGGCACATCTTCATACTCCTCGTCATAGCGATCAAACAGGTCAGTGGCATCTATTCCCACACTAATTGTTCCCTGAGGGATGACAAGTGAAACAGGCATTTAGCATTAGCAAACATCTGGCGTACACAGAACAAATGGCTGAACCATCCCTGTGTATGATTACATTTTTGTGCAGATTCCCATTGTCTGCTATTACTTTTACCACTCTAAAACGCATTTCCTAATGCACAAGACAGAAGTGAATGATTACAATATTTCAAAGCAGCAATATAAATCATCAAACAGACTGGAGAAAAGGCAGTTTTTCAGCACAAACTCAACCCTGCGAGGTCATTTTTCTATTGTGACACATTACAGAAGCAGGTAGAACACCTTTACACAGCATGTTTCTTCTTTCCCCACAATTGACTGTGCTCTGTCAGTATTTAAAAGTTGAAATAATATAGTCTAGAAATTGATTTTCTTCAATGGTACTTGGTCAGAAAACCTCTATAGGCTTCTTCTTATGAGTTACCTAAACCAACTTAGTACTGAACTGTATCATTCACTTGCAATTGACCTTGTTAGTAAAACATTTTGATTTCTTTTTCTAGTTTATATTTTGTAATCAGAAGGAAGGTTTGACAAAGACATAGTTTTAGCAAGTGGTAAATATTTCCTTTCTCAGACCATAGAAAAACTTATTCCTACAAAAAACTAGGCCACAGCACAATAGTCTGGCTACCTGCTGCTGTGCTCCCTCAGACTAACTGCAGAAGTGTGTTCCTTTGAAAAGAGCACAATTAGGTACTTGTCTGGGTCATATAACTTCAAGAGGCTTTGGAAACCTTCCCTATGGACCCATCTGACAGCATCCCAGCTCCTATAAAACATATGGATTGCAATAAAAACCCCGCTCTGTGCACAAGCACAGAGTGAACTCTGAGCAGTTTGTATATGGAAACTCAATAGCTGGGTAGCTACAAACCCCACCCACACTAAGGCCAAGCATGGCTGGAATAAATCCTTATTTCAGTCTGAGGGAACATTTTTCCTTGATCACTCCACTCTAATCAAATACTGTACTGTAAATAAAGGAAGAATTGCAGAGTCTGACAGGACTGGAACCTTTTCTCTGCCTGGGCTCCCAGGCTGCCTTTTTGCTGTGGAGATTCCCAACCTCTTCTCAGTGTTTATTTTCTAATTACTTATGAAGCAAAAATTTGATAAATATTTTAAAACTGAAATGTGTGGTTATTTTCAGTTGAATCCTGGAAGAGGGGCTGTGTCCCAGCTGTTTACTAACCACTCTTGGCAGCTGGTGAATTTCAGAACAATTAAATTCATTGTGCTGCGTGGTGGTGGCACCAACAACCAGCTTCTGCCCTTTCTGCACTTCCAGGAACTATCTGCAATGTCACCTTCAAGTGACTCCAGATCCTACAGCTTCTCCAGTTTCAGCCCTCTCCTATGCCATGCTGTTCCTTGAAACGAGGCCAAAAGAACAGGGAAGCAAAGGAACACCTCTAACCACCCTGGAAGGGTGCAGTCCTGTGCCAGCAAACACCCATTTAGAGACAATCTTGCTGTATTTGGCTTACTGGTGCCACAATGCTGCACCCTTTGGAAAGATGCACCAAGATCCACATGCATTCCTGAATTTCATTGCACCTCCTGTCTCTAAAACACACACAAAATACTAGGATTTTCTTTTTCACATGTATGAATTGTACACCAAATATTCCTCCCAAGGAAAAATGGAAAACACCTGAACCTCTCCATGAAAATCCATAAGATCTGTTCAGAGAAAAGAGAGTGTCTCCCCGTTCCCATAGTAGCAGAGCTCCTACTCCTCTGCCTTTCCCTGAGGTGAGAGGTGCACCCTGGGCAGACCCTCCACCTCCTGCCAAGCAGGTGAAGTCACCCTCGGAGGTCTGTGGATCTTGGCAAGGAAACTGGTTCAGGCACAAGCACAAGAAAAGCAGCAGATGGTAAAGTTAAAAATATTCCCAGAGAAGGAGAGCACCCCTCTGCTGCCGGATAATGGAGGGGACTGCTGCTGCTCCCAGCTCCGACCACGGAGGAGCCCTCCTCGAGGGAAGGCAGCAGGAGAGAGCTGCAAGGCCTGCTCAGGAGTCAGTAATGCCCACACTGTGCTGCACAGAGCAGCAGCTCAGCAGGGCAGGAAGCAAAAGTGGCATGATGGAACCATCAGAGCTGGGATTAGCTTTTAAAATCACCTCTATTTGCCAGCCTGTGAATAGGAAACAGACTTCACTGGTGGAATTTGTAGATGTGCCAGAGGAAAATATACTTCCTCCTTGCTTTTTACTTAGGGATTTACCTTCAGGAAGGTGATACACCTGGAAGTTGTGCCAGGCTTTGCCTTGAGGGACCTGTGTTCCTTACATATTGACCTTCCACAGCAGGAAAATAACTGGATTTAATTTCTCCTAACAGGAAGCGGTTCTTCTTAAACCTAGTAATGAACTTTTCAACCCTTCTGCGCATCTTTAAAAGCAAAAACAAAGCTCTAAAAGCAAATAGGAGACTCAATTTCAACTCTCCAAATTGCCTACATCTGGTTATTGCTCAACATTTCTGGTTAAAATGCTTTATTTTCATGAAACTGTTTTACAGAACCGACAGAATGTTGGAAATTTTAAGATAACTTGTGCTCGTGTATGAAATGATCACAGCTGTGCTCCCCAATTCCATGGGAACACTGCCTGCAGAGGCATTTCCATCGGCTGCCAGCCTGCAATTGCTGTAAACACCCAGATGGCTAATTTTATCTCAGGACACAGGCTGAGGCTCACAGTGCAGCTCGTAGCCACGGCGAGGTGCCCATGGAAAATGTCACATTCCTGAAGCAGGGAGCAGCAGAGTGGGAGATAATCGTGCCCCTCTCTGCAAACATCTCTCTGACCCCGCTCACCTGCACCTCCAGCAGGGATAGTTTGTCCTGCCTGGCTTGTGGCACACAGAAATCTCTTCCTGCCTGGAATAAAGCTGTCAACAGATACTCATACAACAGTTTATGCTTGTTTACCCTTCCAGTACAAACCAGTTCTTAGTGTCTATGCACTACCCACAGCCTGGAGATCTGTACAGCTCAATTGCTTTGCTAAGAGCAGTGCAGATCCAAAGGTGGTGCCAAGGTGAATGTCCCAAAATATTACAGCTCTGCTTAGGTGGATGTTTTCCTTAAGATCCAATCCTAAGCACCACTGCAATCCCACATCTGTCCACTCAGGAGACATTGTGATTTTACACTAATATATGAATTCATTTAGTTAATAGTAGATGCAGCTCTTGGACAATGTTAATCACTGCATAAAAACCAAGATTTTGGGATTCAACAAGCTTTGAAACTTCAGTCAGAGACCATCCTGACAAACCCCAGGTTTGCCTCACACACTCATCAAGCAAAGAGCCAGCAAAGACACCACAAGTCTGAGCTGTTGATACTCTGGCCAGTCGCCACGTCCATCCCTCCCTGCCATCCCAATGGTATTCCTGAGCACCTCTGACCAGCCAAGGTTAGCTGAGGTGAGTCACTTGGGGTCAGAGTCTGCTGCTCAAACAGACTGAGATGGGAACAGCATCCGGGATGATTCTCATCCTGAGGGCAGGATCACGCTTTCCAAAAACAGGCACTAACTGCAACACTGGCAGACCCCCAACCCTGTTCAGATTGACTTTGCTCACTGTGCTGCTGCCCAGCTGGCTCAGGGATGGCTCAGATTTGTTGCTGGTTTCAAGGTGCATTTGAATAGCTCCCTGCATTGTTGTGACACTGCAGCAATGCCAAAGGGAAAACCTGTCAGGTAACTGCAGTGAGTTACATTTTATTTAGAAAATTTGGAAAGAAATCATAAATATTTCAGTGTTAGGTCTATTTTCTGAAAATTGCTGAAAAAGGTATTTTGTCTCAACATGTTTCGCTAAGAAAAGAAGAACATTCAGTAGGGGATTGTTCAAAGTATGAGCTGTTCACCCTGTATTATGCAGAGAAACTACATATGCAAAAGACAGAAAGTCATGCAGCAAGTGTAGACACCTGAGGGGCTCTTTCCTACAGGCCCTCACCTAGGCTCAGCACATCCTGCACACTGGTGATAATTACAGACCACTCTTGAGACCAGGACTAAGTCTTTGCTTACCTTTGGATTAGTTCGCTGCTGCAGTCTCCTCTCTTCCCTCTCTCTCTGCAAACGCTCAAATTCTTCCCTGATTTCAGCTGCAGTTCTCTTTCGTTCCACAACCTGCTCAAAAATAAATGAAAACCAAACAATTACCAGACAGAGGCTGCTCAGGGCATTGCAGTGCTGGGGGTCAGGATGGATGCAGGATGCACTAATACACTGCTCCAGCTGCTGAAAGCCACCCTGCACCAATTTCAATAGTCAGAACTTGGAACGAAGCACCCGGGCCAGATCAAAGGGCAGGCATGAGAGAAAACCCCATACCTTGAGAGAAAAGAAAATGGTTTTGTTATTTGCATTCCCTTGACAAAACCAGGGCAGAGAGCTGGCCAACTACAACTACAAGACACTGCAGTGCAGTTGTCACCCTCAGCGATCTATTAACTTCTCTACCAGGTGTGGACACAAAAATGAAAATAACTGAAAGTCTCTGGCCTGAAGTAAATTGATTCTGTGAGAGTTGTGTGATTTTAGGCTATGCTGGTTCACAGCTGCTTACCTGACATGGGTTAGGGATTGAGGATTTTACACAGGCTCAGTTTTGGAATGGATAGAAAGAGTATTGGATTTGGATCTTCAAAATAAGATCAAGTCTGCCAAAAGCAGTTTAAAATATCTGTTTTTCAAAGCATCTGTTACATGCTGGATCTGCTCCACATTTCTAGCAACTGACTCCAAGTTTGACCTTGGTGCTGATCTGGCCCAATACCACAGGATTCTGCTTTAAGCAGCACAGTGCAATCAACTAGGGCTGGCAGAGGCCAGCAAGGGACTCAAGAGCTGGACAGACATGAAAAGACAAGTTCTGTTTCCAAGCCCATAAAACCCAACCAAAACTAAATCAAAACAAAAACATAAAAAGCCCCACCTCCACCCACCCCAAAAAGCCCAGGAAGAAAAAGTAATTTCCAACTCAGAAGCTAGTTGATGCTGAAAAAAAAAAGTTTTGGATTAAAAAGATGGGATTAGATGGACAATAATGACACATTTGTCTCAGGTAAAGATGTTGCCTGTCATGGCAATATCCTTCCAGGGAACTCTGTATGTCAGGTTTATTGTTCTCTTGTCAAGTGCAAAACCAAAGGGTTCTTTGAAAATCCATCATGGTGTTCCAGCAGGGACAGAGAGAGACAGAAATAACTAACCAAGGATGCCTTCAAACCAACAGGCATTTATTACCAGCCAAGTGCCAGTGCAGCTGATAGAACAATGGCAGATAAAGGTGGGCTTAGTCAAGGCCACTGGCCATAATATGCTCAATTTCTCTCACCTCCCAGCCTTCCATCTCCAGTCCTCTCCTCCCATATATGTCATAGATGGCTCTGGTCTGTGGATCACTAAGCACTGTAAATTGAAACCAAAAGAGAGGAGAGAACTCAGTTTTTGGACTTCTCCTCAGATTCCAGACCAAAATATGATATTTGGAATTCAAGCACAGATCTAGAAACATCTCGTTCTACACTTGCACATTAACCCCTCTGATGCTTCCGCATGCTTTATTGAAAAGACATACTGACTTTTCCCTGCAACAAATCCAATTTTTTTCATCTTCTTTTCCTAAAACAAGAGACACGCACCTAAGTGAATGTGCAAGGGGAGTTTCTAACAGTGATTTCTTTGAAGGTGACACAAGCCTTCTAAAAAACATGGAGATTACAAAAAATTTGGCCAGAGCAGTCCCTGGGCCCTTCCTGGGATTGCCAACCAGCTCTGTCTGGCTTTCAAAGCTCTGTGGTGCTTCCTTTGATGCTTCCCACACATGGGACATGCCAAGCACCAACAAATCAGTTTCCACGAGGCAGTTCACACCTTGCCAAGCATCAATAAGGGGTAATGGCAAAGGTGTGTGTACAATCTTAACCTCTCAAAATGCCACCCAACAAAATGGACAACACAAAATACAACAGGAGACTGCAGAACAGTTACTTTAGAAAAAGACTAGGCACAGAATTAGGAAGAGTCTTTAAAGAGTAAGGCATATTTAAATGCATAAGTTCCTATAACACACCTGTTCTGTAAGAAAAAATAAATTAAAAAATAATCGCCATTTCCTCCTCCAGGGTTCTAAGACCAGCTTTATCATTATCATGTATTTCTTGAGACTGTGGGAAAACGGATGTGTCCCCAGGGAGCTGGGGGAGTACAGTAAGGCAAAAATAGACTTATACTGGTAATTGAGTTTTGGTCTGAACTAGTGGAATATTATTGGACTTGCTAAATGTCACAGGCAGACATTGTTTTTTATGAATTCTGATAAAATGAATCCTCTGTTGTGTGAGACTAAGAGATGGAAGAGGAGAAAGAAAATAGAGAGGAGGTGGAGTGGCTCATTTCCAAGATGTCAAAATTTTTGCTCACTACACTCATATTTGGTACTAAACGAGCACCAATTTCCATGTTCATTGCAAGGCAGAGCCAAGAGCAGCCAGAAAATTCAAAGGGAAGCTGCTGCCTCTAATGTAAGGCCACAGACCACACTAAAATAAAATTACTGAAGCATTATGAGTTTTTGTCCTGCATGTCATCAAGATCAGAGTTTCCCTGCTCTTCCAGCAAAAGCTTTCACATGTCCTAACACCTAACCTAGGGAAAACAGGAAAGACTCCACACATGCTCAAGTCCAACTGGAAGGAACAAATGCTTATCAGTCAAAACCAGGGGTATAAAAATATTCACTCATATTTGAGGTTGAATGGGGGAATATTTATTCAGCATTTTGCTTTGGTTTCTCTTTAGCTCCAGGACTGGGTGCACCAGGTTTGGTGCATGGATGACTCCTAACAGCTTTTAATCCACCTGCACTCCAGGTGCAACTTGCATGCCAGGATTAAAGTAAATTTCAGTTTAATTCTGAGTATTTGAAAAGGGCTTTGGCACAAGAATAAACTGTTATGAATCAGTTGTCCTCCTCTCAGTCAGAGGATATAGAAGAACTTGCTGGAAATGAAGACCACAGCCAGGTGACAGGGAACAGAACCCAGGGATGCAGTAGTTCATCAGTACAATAGGAAATTATCTATTTGAAGCTTTTCAGTCTTTATTCTCCTATGGAAGAGGTTTTCAGAAGTAAGGGAAGTGATGAGAAGATCGTTTACAACATGCAGGAGGTAAGACAGACACTCCACATCTCATTCCCTGCAGCATTTATATGGCATTTCTCCTCTGACATATGGTACAGAAGCAGGAAATAGCATTGGTAAGTATCAGCAAATTTAATTATTACTTTATAATAATAAATAGCTTCAAAAAGTATGAAGACACAGCTCTCCCAAAAACCCTCTGCAAAGCTCAGCCTCCCTCTGACCTTCATAGGCTTGGTGGACAAGGTTGAAGAGCCGCTCAGCCTGGCTTTTGAGCTCGGGGTCGCGGTGCTTGTCGGGGTGGTACAGCATGCACAGCCGGCGGTACGCGGCCTTCAGCTCCTCCTGGGAGGCCTGTGGAAACCACCAAAAACGAACTCAAGGACAGCCACTGCCATTTCCAAAAGGCCACTCTCAAATCAGTCCTGAAAGGGAAGTCAGTCAGCTGTTACATTGCACTACTTCGGCCCAAAATCAAGAATGGATTATTGCTTCACTATGTAAGTTAATAAAATATTCAATTGTCACACCAGGATTGTCCATGCTATCTGTAGTGCAACAAGGGACTTCAATAGCTCATCAGTGTATACCCAGGTACAAAAAATTATATAAAAACCCCACCATCTGTGTTCAGACTTTAGTTGTATCAGGCAACTACTATCCCCTCCAAATCAGAAGAGCAAGAAAAAGCAAAGTCATCTCAGATAAAAATACATAAATCCAGAGATGTACAACAAATTCTACTCGTATTTCAATCTTAACCCTCAAGGGGACACTGTAACTGTCCAAAAGCACAGACTTTCCACACTGTAAAGGTAGGAAATGTAAACTCATGGTTCTGTTCTCATCCCTGCCTCGTGCTCCCCAGTAGCCCATTCTGCTCCCCAGCAGGGTCTGTGTTGTGCTGTGAAGAAGGAAGGTGTCTGTCCACAAAGCCACACAGAGATAACCATGAGAATAGTGTGCCACCAAAGGCATCAAGCCACCTTGTCCTTTACTGCAAGCACTCTGGGACCTCAGATGGCACCCGGCCTCGTTCCAAGGACATGGATGGTTCTTTCACAATCAACAGGGAAACACCCCTGCTCCTTCCATTATCATCTCCCACCAATGTTATTTTTGGACTCCAGAGAGTCTCAGTAATCTCCCCTCTCCCACCTCACCCTGCTACATCCCTTGTATTGCAGTTCCTGCCCATTCCTTAGAGATTGCTTAACATCTACATTTCAGAAGTGCTGTTGCTAAAATCCACCAGAACTTCCCCCAGGCAGAAATTGAAACAGCCCAATCATCCAGTTCCCGAACTGTCCAAGCAAGAACCAGTTTCTGGGCACAGGAAGCCATTCCAGGAGGAACATCCAGAGTAAAATAACCAAAACCTGGTGGTCCAGGCTGTCCCCAGGGGCTGCCACAGTCAGGACGCAGTGCAGTCAGTGAGGAGCAGATTTACAGACACAGATTCCATTTACTGTTAACACCTTACAAGAAGCAAAGCTGTCATAAGTTCCTAGCTTTCACTCAGGAAATAAAGTTCCTAAAAGGTAATTTCTTAAAGTGACATCTTTTTTACCACTTGTAGCAAGGAGGGTTTCCATCACAGGAACACTCACTTGTGTCACAATGCCAGGAATCCATTTTGGATTTGAGGACAGCTCAGAATGTTTTTTCTGCATGTTTGTACTGTTGTTTGTTAATGTTTTAAAATGATGCAGCAAAAGGGGAGGTGCCAAATTTGCTGGCCCCAAGACAGTAAGGACAGCTACAATTAGTTTTTTCTTTTTACTACCTTGTGCTTTCTCGGATATCAAATTTAAACTTGACTGGGAAGGCAGGGGAACATATAGGCCCAAAATGGCATCTTAAAATCAAATTAATGATAAATGGTTTAATGTGCTATTGATTATATAATAGGAATGAGCAGGTTCATTTTTCATAAATGTCATGTTCAATAAAATGTTAGATTGGGCATTTCATCATCACTGAGTAGTCTTGGTTCAATATTCCATGCGCAACAGCCTCTTCAAAACCACTAAAGAAACCCTGACATCGTTTTTAGACTGCCAGGAAACGCAGTCACAAATAATTTCATGTAAGTTACATTTTTTATTACCAAAACTCTGGCCAACATTAAAAGGCCTCATTTAAGGTCTCAAACACAGCACCATGTTTTTAGCAGACTAACATGTCTAAGAGATGAACCATTCACACACACACACAGAACAATTCCTGTCTCCACGGGGTCACTGCAGCTCCAAGCTCAGCTGTCACATCACCCAGACATGCTGTTCACCACATCCACTACAGGACAATACTGCTCAAGATAATTAGCAAGGGGCAATTAACAAAGCACTTGCTCCTCTCTGTTGGAATCACTCCTTGCAGATCCCTTTAATTCAGTTTCCAGCTCCTAGGTGCACAAAACCTAATTGTCCTGCTCTGGGAAGCCTGGCGAAGTTAACCATTAAACTTTCCCCAGCAGTCACAACCCTTGCGTGGTTCTCACCTCCCTGTTTTAACCTCTGCACGGTGCTGCTGACGTTTTGGAGGGGAATTACGAAAGCTCCCAAGGAATGTGCAAGCATGGCCCTGCCGGCTTTGAACCAGATGAGGGCTTGAATTTTTTTTAAAAGGAGCTCAGCATCAGGGAGTTCTGCAAACAGTGTGACCATGAACCGCTGTTCCTTCAGGAATGCAGCAGATTCATACACGAGGCACAGAAGACTGATCCCGCAGCTCAGGGACTGACAGGAGTCCCAAAGGGAATTCTTCCAAGCTATCAGACTGAATCGCTTCCAAGTCTGGATATCCTATTGCACGCAGTAGTGGCGGCTCAGTACGAGCCTTGTCCAGCTACAATGGCCACACCCAGGCTGATGGACTTGATGGGATTTTTATACATATTCATACACACACGAATATACATAACAGATCTACACTGCAGTTGCACTTGCTGAAACAAACTACAGCACAGTTCCCACATCCAGATCTTTGTGGCTCTACCTAATAAGTACTAGAAAAAAAGCGGTTATCTCTCAATAAGTTCCAAACTGTTCCAATGTAACAAACCTGCACCAATTAATCTCCATTTAATTAATAAAAGTGAAATCAAGGATTCTCGAAGCTCCTTTTTTGGGGGGAAAAATCTTTTGCAAAAAAAAAACCCCGTCTGTTTCCAAATGGGAAACGCTCGGGAAGCCTCCACAGCCGTGCCCGAGGGGACCCGTCTGTGCCCCGCGTGCGCGGAGTCGCATCAGGAGCGCCCGAACCGCCACAGTTCGGAGTAAACCACGCATTTATCGGCCTCAGCGGGCGCTCACCCGTCTCACTCAACCGGGAGCCCCGCGGCGCGGGCCGAGCGCTCCCGCCCCGCCGCCGGCACCGGCACCAGCCCGGCCCGGGCGGAGGACACGCCGCAGGGGCGCCGCTCCCGCCGGGCGCACACGAGGGCCCGCTCTGCTCTCGCCTCGCCTCACCCCGTCCCGCCCGGCCCCGCCCGGCCCCGCCCGGCCCCGCGCGGGCCCGCGGCCGCACCTCGCGGCGCACGTTGAGCAGCCCGTAGTAGTCCTCGTTGTCCGGCGCCTCCTCGCCCAAGGCCGCCGCCATCGCCCCGACCTCTCACCCCGCGCCGCGGCGCCACAGCGCCCCTCGGCGGACCGGCGGTCCGACCGCCTGCGCATGCGCACGGGCACCGCTCCCCTTCCCTGCCCGCCCTCCGCGCTCGGGAGGCGGCGGCGGGGCTGAGTGAGGGAGGGACTGAGGGAGCGAGCGAGGGCGGGAGCACCCACCGGCACCCACCGGCACCCACCGGCACCCACCGGCACCCAGCTGCTCTGCCGCGCTCCGCTCCGGCCACGTTTGCCCTCGTTCCTCGCCGTGGCACTCTGACGCGTCTTTGCCGGCGCCGTCGCTCCCTACCCCAGCGGCGGCTGTGGCAGTGTCGTGGGTGCCCGGGACACCTCCGGGTGTCCGACCCGCTGCCGGGGGATAGCGGGAGGCAGGGCGATCGCGATCGCCGGAGCCCGTCCCCGGTTCCTCTCCCGGTGCCACAGGGCCCTCGGTACATGCCTAACAAGCAGTCGCTCACTCCGATCAATGACGGGATCTGTAGGTGGTCTGGCGAGTTTTCTTTCCAAGGGAAAAGCGGCATCGTTTGTGTTCAGGGCCCTGTGGCCCTGAGGGGTCGGCCGCCTCCGAAAAATCCGAACGGCGAAGGATGTGTCCCAGACCCAAGCTGCCCCCACCTCAAACTTGTGCTGCCCTGGCAGTCCCCTACAAACTGACATCAGGAACCTGGACTGGCGAGTTTTCTTTCCCAGGGAAAAGTGGCATCGTTTGTGTTCAGGGCCCTGTGGCCGAGAGGGGGCGGCCGCCTGTAACAAATCAGCAGGGCGAAGGATGTGTCCCAGACCCAAGCTGCTCAAACCTCAAACTACTGCTGCCCTGACAGTGCCAAGGGAACCCCACAAACTGACACCAGGAAAGACGCTCCACGAGGCCTCTCTCCGGTAACAAGAGGGCGATTTCCGCGCTGTCACCATGGAGCCGCTGTTCCCTGAGCCATTCCCGGCCCCGGCGGGGCTGATGTCCGGCAGCCCGGTCCAGATCCGGGGCAGATCTGCCTGCACGGCACCCGAAGGAGCACAGCTGAGCTCGGCGGTGTCAGACCCACGGGCACAGCGCTGGCAAGGGCACACCGTGGGCAGAGCGTGTGCTCGTTTATCACCAGTAGATCTGGAGCATTTTCCCTTGGATCAATAACACTGCTTTGGCTTTTGGCGTAGAGAACACGGCCCTGGGGTTCATGCTGTGCTGTGCTGCCTGATGCTGGGTTAAATCCCCAGGCCCGGCCAGCACCGAAATGGAAGGGAAATGCCCTCAAAGTGTTCAGAGATCAGAGGTTTTAGCAAAAGGGCTGCCCAGCTGGTCTGCTAACGTGAACCTCGTTTAAAGTGTGCTGGTGGACAGACTGGGTATTAATGCTAAGGCTGTCAGGAAGAAAAATAAGGCTTTTCCTGTTCATGTGTGGATGTTACCCAGTGGCTGGATATGTGTGTGGGGATGCTGGAATAGTTTTTGAGTACTGCTGTCTGTAAAAAGGAGTGTTTGAAAGACCGCTCATTGACACCAGTGCAGCCCAGAGTGAAGCTGGAACCACATTCCCATTTCAAAACTCAGCTAGTCTGATTTGGATTTTATCTTCACATCACTTCTATTTAAAAACAGGAACGTTTTAATATTTAGTAAATTTTTTTACCTCATATAAGGGTAGTTAACAAGGAAGCATTGATTGTGTTATAGCAGTTCCCCTGCACTCCTGGTGAGTGAGGTGCAATGCTTGGAACAAGAGGTGCGCAAAATCTCCCTTTCTGAAAACCATGCAGAAGTGGGTCTGTTCTGCAGGGAAGCACCTCTAGCACTGCTTTTTGTCAATGAACCCACCTGCTAGACAGGTTTTTTTTTTCACGAGGCTTAGGAGTCATTGAGTCTGTGCAAGAATGCAAAGGAGATTAGAGTTGTGAGAATGTCAGTTGCTGTGGCAACACTATTTCCCATGGATTTTGGTCCTGTCGTAACTATGCTCTTTTTCTAACTGATTTGGGAGCTCTGTGATCCTTGGGGATGATTAGTGACAGAGTTACTGGGGATCCTTCCCCTCACCAAATTGATCTGACGCTTTCCTAAAAGACCCAGCTGCTTGTTGCCAATGCTGGCTGCTGTTCCCTTGCATCACAGATGATTCAGGGGAATTTTCTGGGAACATTCCACAGGTGTCACATCTTGGCAGGGAAATATAGGAAGAGAGAAATACGAGTTTAAGGAGCTAAATATGAACTGTGCTTTCTAAGGATGTAGAGAGAGCTCTTTAAAACCCTGCATTATAACAGAAGAAATGTAATATCTATGGCAAAAACCAATCTCATGGGAAAAAGAAAAAGGAAGACAAGAAAGAAAAGTACTTGTTTCTGCTTTACTGACTTGCCAAGGTTTGGCTTGGGGTGCAATATTCCTCTTCCCACATTGGTACTTGCAGGTGGAAGCTTTGTGGTGCTGTGTGGGGCACAGTCCCTGCAGCAAGAGAAGCAGTCCCCAGGACTCAGGCCCTGGGTTTAGCTGGGCATGTGCTGTCAGACCTGTGATACTGTGGCTGCTGTTTCAGTGCTCTCTAGTAAGCTGTGAGTAGCCTTACTAGTGGTGCTTCACCTCAGCTGTGGTAGAGCCAGAGATACCAGAGACCTTCATCATGGAATCTCCCCTCGCAGGTGGGCTAGATGGAGCTGTCCTCCTGTCCCTGGGGGTGGCAGGGGACACTGTGAGGGGCCAGTGTAGCAGATTCTCTCAGGGACTGTGATCACGGTCTCAGGTTCCACTGGGAACCTGTCCCCTTGTGGAGTGGGTTTGGTAATATTAACTTTAGTTCCATTGCAGCTCAATGGAGGGAAAAACTAGAAAGTGCCATAAATTCAGCTGAGCTTGTCAAAGCTGTCAAATTACCCCCTGACAAAGCTCCTGCCTGTAATGACTACACCATCAGCTGGAGGGGATGTCTGCGATGGGGTGACAGCGCCGGGGCTCAGCACCGTTACACTTGTGATGTGCTGTCATCGGGGGCACCTGGGTGCCACTCGAGGGTGATGCTCTGAGCAGAGTTACTTTTTTAAAAAATACCTAAAAATCGAAGGGTGTAGACCAGCATCCTGCCCTCTGTTCTCAGCCAGAGTAATGCTGACTGCTAAATTCTAGTAAAGGTCTTTCTTGGCTCCATTTATTAGTATTAGGAGTCCAGAGAGATAATGTCTTTGTACGTATAAAAGGTGCTATTGATTTCCTGTTACTGTTGTCCTGAAATGTGCAAAGGGTGTCTATGGAGCAGTGACAATCCTCCATCACTAGCTTTATGGGAAAAGAATGCTTATTGAATCTCTTCCCATAAAATATAATCTCTTTCTCCCTTCCAGAATTTGCTGGCCCCTGTGGGAGTCCCTTATGTTATGTCTTTGAGAAAATTGATTTTTTTTTTTTGTCTCTGCTTTGTACACTTGTGTTTAGTCTTATTTTTAATTTAGCTCATGTGAAGTGAAGGCTTCCCTAACATGAAACGTGCTGTCTCAGTTTTGTATTGCTTCTCTTTCATATAAATACTTTCAGAATGTTTTAAAGTAAAACAAATATATCTGCCTGGCTCAAGTCTCTCTTGTTGTTGTGGGAATTTTTTATTTTGAGTGACTCATTGCCCTGTGCCTTTTCTCCAGACAGGGCTGAGGCACTGACAGCTTTTCAGCTGCTTACAGGTAAATTTGTGATAAGTTTCTGGAGTGAGCACACACTGATTGATCATGGCTGAATGACACCATAGCCCAGAGCACAACTTGCAATGTTGCAGGGTGGTCTTTGAACTTTAACAGTGGCAAAAATACTGTCAGATTTGTCCTTTCCTCTGTGTAGCAAATAACCGACTATGGGGTTTTTCCTTTCAGGGAGGAAACAGCAACATGAATTCATAGATGATGAGTAGGATGCCAAAGCCAGAGATGACGGTGCTCTTGGAGAAATACTGGGTAGAACAAAAAGGTAAAAGGAACAGCTAATTGAGTGCATTTCAGAGCCTGTGGGACTACTGTTGAGATGGCCAGAGGAAACACTTCATATTGGCTCTTTCATTCTGTGAAATTCTCTCTGTAATGGAGGTGTGATAGTCTAGCTGGGGACTTGGGGAGGTAAGAGGCAGATTTAGTCATACCTGCAGAGCACCATGCAGAAGAAAATCCTTGTTATGCTCATCCAGTGGCAGCAGAAGTGGCTGAAGCAACTGATGAGGAGCAAGAAAATCTTCATTAGTCATGTAGCTCTTCTTGGGGTATTTTCATACTTGTTTTTACAGGCTGACTTAAGTCCCCCAAAAGTCAGAAGCAAATGTTCTCCTTGCAATGTTCCAGGTTTGCAGTGATGATCTGCCTGTTGCCCCTGCCTCTTGTCTCTCTCCAGCAGCAGCTGTGTGGGACACAGGATGTTTCTGGGGCAAGCAGAGGATCTGGTCAGTACTGTGTAATGGGTTGATATATATACATAATAGTTTCTGCTGGAAATGTTGTTTTCAAAACAGCAATCGGGGAGGAATTACCTGTAGTTCAGGTTGTTGTGCCATTTGGCCAACCAGAGCTTTTAGTCTGTTTGGAGCCTTCCAGCCCAATATGAAAAGAGCCTGTCATGGACAGAGCTCTTTGCTCTGCCTGGTTCAAAATATCTGCTGAATATACTCTGAAATGCTGATTGACTTTTTTCGAATGGTCCTAACTCGTATAAGCTGTCGTACAGTTCAAATCTGCTATTATATAATTTTTAGTTTAATAGCACCAGAGATGAGAATTTTAGGATACTAAAAATAGTAATTAGCAAGTTTCTGTTGTTGTCAATCCATATTTTGGGAGGTGTAATAGTTTTGTTAGTTGTTTTTCTGCATATGTGTATGTGAAGGCTGTTGATATATTTTTCAGCTATTTCCATAAACTTGGATGTGAATCTGTTATGCTCTTTGGGTTTCAAAATTCTTTATAATCAATCTGGAGAGCTTTGAGTCTGTAAAACTGGAGAACAGCCAGTGCTGGCAGGACCTGTGTCCCT